ATTATTTTTAAGACTTCTTTTTCATCCCCTGAGTTGAGGCAAAGAAAACTGGCCAGCCCATTGCAGTGCTGGAGGCGATCAGCTGCCAAGCCCCTTGCAGTCACAAAGCTCTGAACTCCGCCTGTTGCCGTGAGGGAAGTGCTACAGGCTGTTTTATAGCCCCTCTCCCCAAGTTTTTAACAAACGTCAATAAAAAACAACAAATCACTTATTAAAAACCTTGATAAGGTATTTTCTAGCAGCTAAAGATTCTCTCACAAAATATTGTATTTGGGGCTCAATCTAAAAATACCACCAGATGTAAAGCACAAGCTTTTTGCACTTTCACACCTATGTAAGTATTTTGGTTTCATTTCTAAACAAAGGATGAAAGGAAGAACAGGAAGAACTTAACTCTTTCCATCCCAAACTTTTTCTACCAAACCACCTTCCCCTCTCTTTCCTTCCCTCACAATACACTACTAGACTGACTTTTATAAATAGCCACTTTGGAAGGATATTTCCACCCCCACCCACCCACCCCTTTAAAATTACCTAAAGCCTTTTTTTCCCAAGCAAGTTAATGTGAACTTGGGAATGGCAATTAAATTGTCAGAATTAAAAAATTTGTTTTTAACTAGAAGGTAGCCAGAAGTATAGTCATGGGGCTGGTATTGATTGTCTGAACAGAGAACATTAGTCTTCAGGTATTTATTCTGCCACCTCTGCACCAGAGGTTCTCCTTCAAATCGAATCAATCCCTGGAAAAGATTGGTTCTTGCTACTAAGACACATAACTAGGCTGCAACAGAGCTGATGGTTGTTGTTGTTGTTGTTCTCCCTAGGTTTTACGGAACAATATCCAGGCTTCTGATTGTTTCTGAGTAATTCTCAAGAGCTGCAAATTGTGATCTTTCCTAGACTGTGAGCTCTCTGGGGCGGAGAATATATCTGCTTTTATTTGAAAGACACCAAACAGTTGATAATGTGTATCTACGAATGAAAAGTGTGCTAAAAACCACGCTTTCAAGCATGGTTACTGCAAGAGCACTTTTCCATTATTTATGCATTATTTTCCCCAGTCTCCCTTTTGGCAAAGTCCCTTATATCCAATTTCAGGTTTTCGTTTTGCTCTGGGTTTTTTTTGAGAAAAACTTAAATAGGCAGTAGGGAACCTTGTATTCATTATTTTAAAATGCTTTTGCTACAGAGACATGTAAAACTAATTGAAATAGAATAATTAATGATAAATTCTTGATAAGAAATCACAAAATACCAGGGCAAATATTCTGCAAATTCTAAGGATATCTACACCATGAAAACAGGGCCTGAAAGTCTGGTTCCAAAAATCTGAAAAGAAATGGATTTTCTGACCTAAAATTGGTTAATATTAAAAGTTTATAAACACAATTCAGAAAGAAATAGATCAAGTGATCAGTCCAGTTGACCTGACAACTGTACCTTCAGAGACCTAAAGATAAAAAAAAAAAACCAAACCCTCCATAAAACCAAGCCAAGAATACCACACCAAAAAACCTGAACCCCAAACAAAACCATAAAACCCCCAACAACCTTTGTACTCCTATACATTTTACATAGTTTTCAGCTGAACTGGAATTTGTACTTTGTTCATCTATTTTACACCTTGCCAGCAGAACGTCTTGGAACAAGACAGTTGCACACACGCACGCACTTAGTTAGGCAGATAGCAATTATCCGTATTTTCAGAAATCACATTAAATAATTACTTCAGGTAAACTAGAATATTCACTGGATAAAGAAACAGAACAGCAACAGATAGCAAAGGCAGTATGCAATTAAATTCAGAATAAACCAACATCAAGATAAGAGAAGCCTGTTAAGGATGTCAAATTCTGAACAGAAAGGCAGACAGAAAACAATTAGCTCTATTTAAATTGCCAGGGTTAGCTACCAGCTATGCCTATTAGCTACCTATGAAACAGGGCTACTTTTATTCACTCTTTTTTTGTATTGACAAAAATCGTACTCCTGTCAATTACAAACTGAGTACGAGCCATAGCCCTTGAAATATAGCAGGGATTAGTGAAAATATCGCATTACTATGAAAGATGAATAATTGCATTAGTGCGTGCGTACTTATGGAAGAATTAGTTACACAAATATAGGTAGGAGTTCCAAATATTTTGCAGTAAAAATAAAGATTTTTTTCAGTATTTTGATAAACAATATAAAGATTAAATACGAAAATATGAGTAGAATACATAAAACTGTGACAAGATCTATTTAATTTAAAGTAAACACACTATTAAAGAGGGGTGGTTGTTGATTATCCAGGAAGTATTAAACAGAAAGAAACCTCGTGCCCTCAAAGTCCATGGCATAGAAACAACACACAGTATTGAGAACAACAAGCCCCAAAGCAAAAAGTGGGTTAATTAATTCTACATCTTGTTCCTCTTTCTACAGTCAAAGATGTAGGGCTCTATGAACATTGCTTTCAGATCACTTTATTGACTATTCTCTGTACGGTCATTTATTTTAGAGGACTGATGTCACATTTGGCATTATATCAGCTGACATATTGTAGACATTTTCTTCCAGAAATGGCTCTTTAAGGCTGAGTGCAAGAGGTTAAGATGCCTGATGGAAACTAACTTTACGACAGTGATGTTCTTCTATATTCATACAACAGTCTTAATAATTTTAAATTAGCATAAAGTTTATGCCTCCACACATAGTACGTGTGCGTATGCATGCATATATGTATACAGTAATTCACAGACTAAAAAAAGAAAAAAGACCTAAATTTATTCTATTCCACGACATGTACTTCGGGGTGAAGGGTACTCAGCTTGAATTATAAACAAATTATTTTTAACTATAAGAAAGATTTTTCTACCTTATCAATCTATCTTCATTAGATTGCAAAGACATAAAATTCAAGGCTAAACCCCGAAGTCCAGTAGCTTTGGGTAGTTTTTGTTTGTTTCTCTTTTTGGTTTATTATAGAATTCTCAAACTGATTATTGTCTTAGTTTTGTAAATATATTCTTCTAGAACAGACACAGCAGCATGTAGTTGAGTGATCCCTGATAATAAAATGGGAGGGGGAGTTAAAAAATGCAGTCTCCTTTTTTTAAAATCACCAGGTAGGAATCACCGTTAGCATTTGCTGCTTGAGCAATACTTTACGTTTCAGCATTTGTTACTATTTCTTCCACAGCCAATTCTGGCAAAAGAACTTGAGGACTTAAACATAAACCAAGGTCTGAATACAGTTTAGCTTTAGAAGTGTTATTTTTCTTTTAATGTATCTGTAACGATAGGCAGATAGGTGCTAAGGCTAACTGAAATAACCGCTGTGGATTTCTGAACAGGAAAGGTCTTATTCTGAAGTTACTAACGCATAACTAGGTAATTTACCACAAGAAAGTGTGTCCAGGGATTAATGGCAAAATTGCATCCACTTTTCTTCTGCTTAGCGAGAACTGTATTTGTAACCATTGTATGCAAAGTACGCACAACGTGCCAGCTCACCTAAGATGTAATGAAGAGGCTTAACAAATCCCAAGGTTGCTTATATGAAGTAACGGTCAGTTTAGCCTTGTATTGAACGCGTCTGAAACGCAACGACAAAAGCCCTTGGCATTTGGGACAATTTTCTAGCATCTTAGAGGAATGAAGGTCTAGGCTTTACTGCCATGTACTGTAACCTGCTGCTATTGGCAAGAAACAGATTTTACACTGACCATGTTCTCCGGCTGCTTTCAGTGTCGCTTCAGGATGTGTCGATCCAAGGGGGTTACGCACAAATCGTCGCCGGCGCCGCAAGTCATCTTCCCAGTAGTCAAGGCGCCAGAACTCACGAGGACGACTACAATGAAACAGAGGAGCCACATATGTTAGCAATTATCAAACAGCATGGTAGCGCTGAATTTCTGCATAAAGCTCTCCTTGTTTGCGCTGCTTTTGCCTTTTTTTTTTTTAACCTCCCCCCTTTCTGCAATCTTTTACTTAGGTATGTCCTTGAAAATAACAATATCACCTTCCAGTCTAAGGAACTCCTTTCCCTTTTTTCTTGGAAGGTGAAATGAGCACTAAATACATCATTTTGAAATGAATTGCTGACAGTGTGATCAGTTTCCCCACACTCTAGTGGCATGTGCTCCGATTTCAGCCTCATTTCAGCCTCAGCAGGGCACCTTTCTCAGTGACTGCATTTATAAACCAGAATAGGGAAAAGGCTATTATAAATATGGTATAGCATTACCTATATTAATCAAAGTCTGTCCCCCTTCATTTTTCTTCCTAATTTGTGCCTTTTTGCACAAGGTCAGTAAATCATACCATGAATTCTTGGTCCAGAAAGTGTTAACTTTAATGAATACCTCAGTTACATGGTTATGTATGTGATAATAAAATATTACTCTGTTTAGATGTGCAGGAATTTAATTAAAATAATCTCTTAAAATATTCATTACATTTAGCCCCTGAGGCTTAGAACAACACAAGAAAATGCATTTCTTTTCCATTTACTGTTTTTAAATAAACCATTCCAGGAGAGTGAAACAGCAATCTATTTTCGAGCAAATCAGATTGGATTTCTGGTTTATGTAGTTGTGTTTTTACATTTAATTAAAAACTACATGTTATGATGTGTAATAATTGCTATATTGAAGGCATACTTTTAAAAAAAATTACTTCTAGAAAAGGTTCTATCAAATTCATTATTTTCCATTGCATGCGCTAAATATACGTAGATCTTTTTAATATGGTCATACATAAGTGCCAGTTACTATCTTGTTAGATGATCATGAATAAATGCCATTGTAAAACAGTATTTCAGCCCAGAGAGTGTACCAAACCCACCAGTTTCAGGTATAGCAAATAAACAAACAGAAAGCGCCTGAAGCACGCAATAGCCACAACAGCCTGAAAACCTGTATGCCCAAATTAAAACACACTGATTTGGTTTGTTAACACAGCTAGTATTAAAACAATAGATGAAAATGCATATATATTACATTTCTGGTCCAGGAGCTAATAGAAAGTGTACCCTGTCAATACTGACAAATGAATAGCCACAACTGATTTAGAGATCACAATGTTAAAAATACTTGGTATCTAACGTTCTTAGTTTTGTGGTCTAAAGGCAGAAATGAGTTTTACTTCAGGTAAATCAGGGCTTCAAACAAACCCAGTAACAAAAGCCAGAATAATTTGCATAACCCTACTCTCAAACACTATTTGTAGATGTTAAAAATCGTGACAATTGGGACTGTCTCTGCATCTACCTTCATCAAAATTCTATGCCTTTTGCTAACACCAAAGAAAAGGCAGTGCTGTTCTTCATCTTCCTGACTCCTTACTTTCAGAAAAATACTGAAGTATTGGAATCAAATGCCCCAGCATCTTATTTTCGCACTTTGTGTGTGTTACAATCACGCTAAAATTTGAACGCTTTGATTATGAAATCCAATGATTTTGGAATAATTAACCAAAAAAGAATTATAAAACACAGGAAGATGTGGGATTATTCAAAGGTCGATTAATAACTTAAAATTCTCCATCAGTGATTATAGAAAAAAGGCAGAACACAGCTGGCTATGTGCATGCCTTTGATAGTCGTAGAGCATGGATAGGCACTTCATCATTCTGCCTTCCTACATTTATCTGTTAAAATTATTATCAAATATCAGCCAGGATGCAGTCGTGAATCACAGACTGCTCCTCGTCTTCAGGGGAATGATACAATGAGGGTCTATTCATCAGTATGGCAATCGGCACAAGTAATTAGTTCCCTAGACTGAGATCTCCTACAAAGCTTATTTCAGTCAGCACTGCAAACATATGACAATGAAAAGCTAATGGAAGCCGCTAAAATTTGTTAACCTCTTCTGCCATCAATCCTGCTAGTATTCTGTGCTACAGTATTATGCAAAGATGGTAAATTATTAATTTGTCATTCATCTATCTTTCTACAGTTTTGATAGAATTAAGTGATGCCATTCTTCTGGATAACAATTATAATTACACCACATTACAAGCTATGCTGAAATTATTACAAAAATAGGTAACTGATCAGGCACGAAGTATTATCCTGAAACATAATATATCTTTAGCCCCCTACTTTTATTTTCAGTGTGGTGTATGAAATTTGCATAGGATTCCATCTCCTTCACCCGAGCGCTGATTATTTACAAACACCACCACAACTATTAGACTATGTATTTGGGTATTTATAACTTTGGCAACCACCGTATTATGAGGTTAAAAAAAAAAAATCTACTCTCTACACATAGAAAAATATCTAACAAAACCAACACCTATGTTGTTTAATTCTTACAAGTGAGCCATTTTTGAGAGCAGCCACTGGGATGAATGCATATTAGTAGCAACATAAGCCAGTATGCTACATCGCTGCTCCAGCACAACTACCTTACAAGTGAGATCAGTTAACCACCGCGGTCCCATCCCCAAAAGGCAATGCTGCACCATGCGGACTGTGTACCTCTACAGCCAGGGGGAGACAGACATAAATACTGATTTATTATTTTTATGATGTTATGATTTTTAATATTGATCTGATTTGGGCAGAACTGACTGCTGAAGGACTGAAGGATCACGAAGCAAAGGGCCAAGTAAGCAGACTTGGGGAACAGTATGTAGTGCCATCGACTACAGGGGACATTTGACAACAGACGTTTCCGGCCCTGCAATAAAGGCTGCCATATGGACTAAAGGTGCTATATGGACTGGATCAATGAATGTAAGTACTCAATTAGTGTAAGTGCAAGAGCAACATTTCTCAGGGGATTTGGGATTTATGAATTATAAATCATATTATTTGCATGGATTTGTCAGGGCCCCCTCTAATATGATACACAGTAATTAGTGGTTCCTTGGTAATAATATTGAGTGATTGAAACAAAGCTTTGATATTAAATGTTTTATTCAAATAGCATAACCATTATATTGCCTTATTTTTCAAACAGTTCCCTAAATTACCAGGCTACATAATATCTTCCTCTCAACTCCCATGTAACTAACTAGGCTGTTACAATTGTACAGAGATGAGAAGAAATACAGACTGACCAATACAACCTGTATCCTCAGGACTTTCAGTGTGTCTTGCATTGACTGTGGTCTATGGGGAAAAGCTTAAATGCTCACAGATCTTAATTCCAAGAACAAGGAACCTATTTTTCCTACCAGTTTCAAAGAATAACACAATTGGAAACAAAACATATCAACTGGTGTACTAGTTTTATTATGGTGGTATAGCAAAGGAATTTTAGGTCTGTGAATTACCCATTGGTCCTCCTACCCTATAGGAGATTTAGATTGAATCTAAGCAGTACAACCAGAGAACAATGAGAGGATCATGCAATTGCTGAAGAATTACTTCTTGTAATGCCTTATCCGTTGTGTATCTCAAGACATTCTGCTATCTCTATGACCACAGAAAAGAAGCAGTCAGCACACTAGTGGGGATAGAAAAGGATTCTGCAAGGTGGGGAAGAGGAAAAAAAAATGTACACCTACAGAAGCAATAGTTTGAGAGGTCTTAGGGCTGTACTTGGGCCACCATTCAATTGAGAATGGATTTTAGCACACCACAGAAGCATCCATTTGGACCCTTAGATTAGTGAAGTACTAAAATAAACCCAGCACAGAAAAGAGAGACAAAGGAAAGGAAAGAAAGGCAAAAGCAGCACAGCGTTATAGAAATCATCTGCAGAGACAGAGGATGACTACAGCTCCAAATGACCTCTTCTATCTAGAAGGCTATCTAGCCTCAAAGGCAAGAAAACCCACTCACATGAAAGAATTGCAACAAATTTCAAAGCAGATGGAAACTAGCGTGCGTATGTCCTTGAAAAAAATCTGTTGTTACGAAGACTCAGACCAGTGCAGTCAGCAATTATAAACTTTGCACAGCCTGCTATTTACAGAAAACCAGTTCTTGCTCTGCTGTATGGCAATTATATACATTAGGCACAGATATGAAACATTAGTCAATGTGAATTTTGTACCAGTAGAAAATATTGCACCAACACGTCTGGAAGCCAAGGCTTTTCCCAGGCCATGGAACGAGAACACAGGTGGTGATCGTGACATAAGCATAATACCTCATTCACATGCCCTAAGCCTATGTGAAGATACTGAGATGCATTTCCAGATGACATACACCTCGTTGGAACTCTAACAGTAGAGTTACGCAGGTAAGTCAGTCTCCAAAGCAAATCACTCCTCAGTCTCTCCACTAAGACCACCAGCAAGGCAATCAATCAGTGATGGCAATTTCTGAGGTGTAAATGCTCACACACAGACACGCAGGCTAAGTTAGTTTCATAGACAACCAAAGATGGAGCGGCAACACCACTTACTCATCAGTACCTACAGCAGAGATTTGAAAGGAAACCTGGAAGAAGGCGTCTCTGCAATTTCTGCATCACCAACTGCAAGCCTACCACTACTTCTGGTTTTAATTTATTCAGCGCTTTGGTTGCAGTGGCTCATCAAATGCGCAGTATCAGGTGCTACTTCTAAATTACACAAAAGAGCAATCTTCGAACACAAATGGTGATGCCAAATTGTCAAGAAAAAATATGCTGGATTATTTTAAAGCTGTTCAGGAACATTTCTTGCTTTATATCTAGATCACTTTTGCTTCCATGTAAAATACTTCAAGAACTCAAGCCAGACATCTGCTGCAAGATACACAAACATTTTTCTCAAAAAAAAAGAAGCACTAAGCGTTCACATTTGATTGTCAATCCAAAGATAAAAGTGCTGAAGTTCTAGAAAGTACTGCAGAAATCTTGATGGAGTACTGCTAGCAGGCTGCAAGGCATCATGTAATTTAAGAGA